TTATATCTCCTCTTGTGTCAGTGAATCTACTGGAGTAGTATAGTTTTTTGGGCTTTTTTTATTAATTTGGTGAGAACTGATGAATATGTTTAAAGAAATTCTTTGTGTATTAACCCTGTCTTTTATTGCTTTTCATATTGGTGTTTCTTATCAATGGATTTCAGAATGTGCTGGTTAGCCATGGGCAACCAAGCTGTTTGTTTGTGATCTGTTTCGTTTTTATAGGACAATGTTTGTTGTATAGTCTAAGTAATTTGTTAAGAAAAATGTCTGTCCATCATCAATACCAATTTCCTTGGAGAAATTTTGTAGGCCATCAACAGTCCTTAGGTCAGCTGTGAACTTCTTGTTGAGGCCTCTTCATGGAGTCTAAATGAAACTTTGTTGTATTCATGGTGTGGTTTACTAATGTTTTCAAGAAGGAAGGTTGGGGAGTGGCTGATTTAAGGGGGGGTAGTATATTGGTCTTATATGTGGTCTATTATGGTTCAACTTTTTCAGTGAGCTGGTCCCACTCAACACCCAACACACACTCCCTCCCCCCACCTCCTCGAAAGTCTAAAATCCACTCACACCCAACATCCCCCCCCCTCCCCCCTCTTCCCCTCTACAAGACAAAAACTAAGACAGTTCCTCTTAGTTACTCTTTAAATACATTATACACACCCACACATACACTCCTATACACACACTTGTGCGCTTGTATACACTTGTACACACATTTTCACTCATATACACTCACATTTATGCACACATTTCTAAACACTTGTATACACTTACACACTTTTACGCATTCTACACTTACAAGATCCACATAACAAACCCTGGGGATAAATGGTCCCGAAACCCGACAAGTTGAAGATTGAGATATTTATGCGACCTATGGGAATCTTTATTAAGGAAACGTTTCGCCACAGTGTCTTCATCAGTCCAATACAAAGCAGAAAGGTATCCATAGATTACCCATTATTTTCATTAAATATTCAAAGATTATCCCACATTTTCATTAAAATATTCATTTCACTCCACTTATTTTTATAAAAATCTCCATAGATACATAAAATCCCACATTAAAATCCTATATTTTCAATAGAAGAGATATAAAATTCTGTATTTTTTCAATAAATTTCTATAGAATTACCCATAAAATCCTATATTTTTCATTAAATTCTAAATAGATTAATCAACATTTTCATTTAAAAATAATCAATATCTCATATTTTCATTAAATTCTTCATAACTTACTCTAGATTTTCATAGATTATCCAAAATCTATATTAAAATATTCATAGAATATACCATATTTTCATAGGATACCCAATATTTGTGGCTGAGTGGGGAAGAACATCATATGGGAACATTACCGATCTTCCTGTAGTGGGTTCGAATCCTGCTGACTGCGATTTTTTTTCTATTTACTCGCTTTTTTCTGCGTGGTGCATTTATATAAAAATCGCTTGTGAGGTCAGAACGTACAGGAGGGGAATAAAATAGCTTGAAACCATGCCTGAGGCCCACTGATGTAGCCAGGCTGCGCAGCTCTTGAGGCAGTTGTAGCTGAGTGGAGGAGAACAACGTGCGTCACATGGGAACCTTCCAAAACAACTGCAGGGGAAGAGCGTCACTTGGGAACCTTGCAGAACAACGAGCGTCACTTGGGAACCTTGCAAAACAACCGTAAGGGAAGAGCGTCACTTGGGAACCTTGCAAAACAACGAGCGTCACTTGGGAACCTTGCAAAACAACCGTAAGGGAAGAGCGTCACTTGGGAACCTTCCAAAACAACGAGCGTCACTTGGGAACCTTGCAAAACAACGAGCGTCACTTGGGAACCTTGCAAAACAACCGCAGGGGAAGAACGTCACTTGGGAACCTTGCAAAACAACCGCAGGGGAAGAACGTCACTTGGGAACCTTGCAAAACAACCGCAGGGGAAGTACGTTTACTTGGGAACCCTTTCAAAACAACCGCAGGGAAGAACGTCACTTGGGAACCTTGCCAAAACAACTGCAGGGGAAAATGTCACTTGGAACCTTGCAAAACAAAACCCCAGGGAAGAACGTCACTTGGGAACCTTGCAAAACAACCGCAGGGGAAGTACGTCACTTGGGAACCTTGCAAAACAACCGCAGGGGAAGAACGTCACTTGGGAACCTTGCAAAACAACCGCAGGGGAAGAACGCCACTTGGGAACCTTGCAAAAAAAACCGCAGGGAAAAAACGTCATTTGGGAACCTTGCAAAAACACCGCAGGGGAAGAACGTCACTTGGGAACCTTGCAAAACAACCGCAGGGAAAAACTTTCACTTGGGAACCCTTGCAAAACAACCGCGGGGGAAGAACGTCACTTGGAACCTTGCAAAACAACCGCAGGGGAAAAACGCCACTTGGGAACCTTGCAAAACAACCGCAGGGAAGAACGTCACTTGGGAACCTTGCAAAACAACCGCGGGGGAAGAACGTCACTTGGGAACCTTGCAAAACAAACCGCAGGGGAAGAACGTCACTTGGGAACCTTGCAAATCAACCGCAGGGAAGAACGCCAAACTGGGAACCTTTGCAAAACAACGCAGGGAAAGAGGGTTCACTTGGGAAACCCTTGCAAAACAACCGCAGGGGAAGAACGTCCATTGGGAACCTTGCAAAAAAAACCCGCAGGGGAAAGAACGTCACTTGGGAACCTTGCAAAACAACCGCAGGGGAAAACGCCACTTGGGAACCTTGAAAACAACCGAGGGGAAGAACGTCACTTGGGAACCTTGCAAAACAACCGCAGGGGAAGAAGCGTCCACTTGGGAAACCCTTTTGCAAAACAACCGCAGGGAAGAACGTCATTGGGGAACCCTTTTGCAAAACAACCGCAGGGAAGAACGTCACTTGGAACCTTGCAAAACAACCGCAGGGGAAGAACGTCACTTGGGAACCTTGCAAACAACCGCATGGGAAGAACGCCATTGGGAACCTTGCAAAACAACCGCAGGGAAGAAACGTCACTTGGGAACCATTGCAAAACAACCGCAGGGGAAGAACGTCACTTGGAACCTTGCAAAACAACCGCAGGGGAAGAACGTCACTTGGGAACCTTGCAAAACAACCGCAGGGGAAGAACGTCACTTGGGAACCTTGCAAAACAACCGCAGGGAAAAGACGTACTTGGGAACCTTGCAAAACAACCGCAGGGAAGAACGCCACTTGGGAACCTTGCAAATCAACCGGCATGGGAAGAACGCCAATTGGGACCTTGCAAACAACCGCAGGGAAAGAGCGTCATTTGGAACCTTGCAAAACAACTCACAGGGTATATCGTGTAGTTATTATGTCTTACAAAGTATTTTGGTAGGATTTGGTAGGTAGTATTTAGGAATATATGATAAGATTCTTCCGAGTATTTCCTGGAACATTCTAGAACCTCCCATGATGTATGGTATTTTAAGCTGACAAATGAACGCATTCGTTTCTTTCGTTAATTAGGTATACTCATAATAGCATGCTGTGTGTGTATTATCCACTATTGCAATGTAATCTTTTATGTCAGTTGACTTGTTGGCAGCGATTAGAAGCAGCTTAGGATAGCTATTACATCTCAGTTTTTTTTTCGCTTCTGTAAACTTGAAGGCCCTCGTCCAGCCTGCCCCATATGGAAAGGGGCGTTGAGGGTGGGTGGGTGAGAGGAGAACAGATTGGTACCTCTCATACTCTTGAGAGAAGCTGTGGCTGGTGCCACCCACGCTACCCTACCCAGAGAAAACGTCCCTTCGTTTCTTCTGTGGCTATTCTTACAACACTGCATACCTCCTGATGACGCACTGAGAAGTGTAAAAGTACTTGAGTTCAAGATTTCCACCCCCCACCCCCACATCCCCGTAGCTTGTCTTGCAATAAGATCGCCTGACTATGTTTGGATTATATATATATATGTCGTGCCGAACAGGTAAGACTTGAGATTTTGGCTTAAAGAGCAAGGTTCTTCTTGTGCAAGAAAGGTATAAAATACCGACAATATGAAAGTTGAGACACATATGCAACATCTGGATATCTTATTGTAGACGTTTCGCCATCCAGTGGCTTTATACCAAAAGGACCTTAGGAAACTTACCTGACCTTATTATAACAAGCCCAATTTAATTTAGCCTAATCCAACTAAATATATTTTACATAAGTTTAAAACAATTTAGCAATAAACAAACACAATGAAATATTTTTTTTCCGTTAGGTTCAGAATGATTTTTGCGAAATTATTGCATACACAAATTTTCGCTTGCCTTATTCGGCAAGAAGAGCGTTGCTATTTAAGCCAAAATAGCAAGTTTTACCTATTCGGCACGACATACATATTATAGGATTGTAAATATAGACTGAATCTAAATAATAACGTTATGCAGAATACAATTATATACGTAACAAAGCTGAGGGACTCTAAATATTTTTTCATATATTTTACTGAAGAGTCGATGCTGAACTCCAGTTATAAAAATTTAGAATAGTTATACATGTATAAAATAATAAAATTTTTTTTCACCATCAAAGAAAGTAAAAAAATATAATTGTTTTAATTTTTTATTTGTTAATTCAGTAAGTACAACAATTTTTTAGCCTTAAAAATTTCTGATTTGTTTATAATTTTGTAATATGATTATTACAGAATGTGCAAGTGAAGCAAGCATTATACAGAAGTTAATTTAAATAATTGGGAATTAAAATATATTTTGTAAATCATTTATTTTTAAATTGCAGTAGCAGAAAGATATCCAATATAGATCTAAAGTTATATATGTGGTAAAGAGGTCCTCAGTATCTAGATATGAACTTCTAACAATGTGGAGACTTGTAGAAGTTCCCAGTAATCCGTAGCAGGTTCTTTTGCTCAAGTTGGTCCTAAGTGTTAGCTTCATTTGTGCAAAGATCTTGCATGCATCAGTAAGTGCATACATTATCACACACTTGTTTGCTGCTGTGTCGTATCAAACATTTAATCAAAAGGGTACACACCCCCCTGCAGTGACAGAAATTAAAAACGTGAACAACACGGCAGTGGGGACCTTTTCCAGTAATGCGACACTCTCTGTTTGAATGGCAGGTCGAGGGCAGTGACATGGACTGTGGAAGACATTAATGATTAGAAAAGATATCGAGATTCAAAAATTTATAAACAGGGACCCCCACAGATCTTTTTGCTTCCTCATTGCTAATTGATCTCTCTAAATAAAGACATTCCACTCCGCTTTCCGTAATGAAAGGTCGGTTATCACAGTTGTGCTACATTTTAGGTACTCAATAAGGGATGGGGGAGGGGGGGGTAGATGCATAAATCCCTAAAGTAGTAGGTAATTTTTATTTAATTATTATTACATGGATAACAATAAATTGCTACTTCCATTAATGAAATTTTTTAATTTATTTTAAGGATGTTGAAACTGATTCTGAAGTAAAAATTTAACCTGTGACGTAAGATACGACAACACATGTGACTGTTATATTTTTAAAAAGATATTTCGAGCAAAAACCTTGCAGTTCTCTACTGGCATAAAGAAAACATGAATTGTTAATAATCATGGGCTGCTGTCAAAAAAGTCAGGGAGTATCACTGTGCTCTGGTCATCCCAGTGTTCAGACATATTTGCAAAAGTTTACTTTTCATTGTGTACATTTGTGGGTTTTTTTTGCTTAAATTATATTTCTCTGCCAAATATACTTTTCCATATTTTATTCGATTTCTTTTGTTCTTTGATGTGAAATCTCCCATTTCACATTAAAATCGTCGGGCATGAATGTCTGGAATGTGCAGATAACTTTTGTCATGTATGTGGCAAGTATATACTCTGTGATCAACGAGGAAGCATAGCAGTGTCAAAATCGCAAAAAAAGAGCTTCCTTGCTAAGATAGGTGATAAAGACGGAACATTTCTTCCCCCCCCCCCCCACACACACATGCTGTATTGTTAGCACTTGTGACTGATACAATACTTGAATGGGAAACTTGCATCACTGCAACTGCAGTACCTACGGTGTGGCGAGAAGCGAAGAATCACCTGAATGACTGTTACTTCTGCATAGTTAATGTAACTGGTTTCTCGAAAAAAAAACAAGAATATGGAATATCCAGATTGTGATTCAGTATTAAAAGCTGTACCAGTCAGTGAGGACACTCCTGTACCAGTCAGTGAGGACACTCCTGTACCAGTCAGTGAGGACACTCCTGTACCAGTCAGTGAGGACACTCCTGTACCAGTCAGTGAGGACACTCCTGTACCAGTCAGTGAGGACACTCCTGTACCACTCAGTGAGGACACTCCTGTACCATCAGTGAGGACACTCCTGTACCACTCAGTGAGGACACTCCTGTACCTGTTTTATCTGTTGTTTATGATACTGATCGTGATTGTAGTGAAAATATTAACCTGATATTACGAAGTACTAGAATCTGAAACTTTGAAACCTGACTTAATCACTCCAAAGGAGTTAAATAACCTTGTTAGAGACCTTACTTATCAAAGCTGAAGCAGAATTGTTTACAAGACTTAAACCTTTTTTTACGCTATGCTAGGTAGGATTACGTCCACTCTGGTCGTAGACAGTTTAACCGTGTCTCTTGCTGGCAAACTGCCATACTCTAAATATTGTCTGCATATACTGGACATTACCTGCATATGTAATTGGTGAAGTTTATTCTCTACTTCTTTGTCTCTACTTTGAGAGCTGAGTATCCTGCTGATTCACTTATGGACAAGTGCACAGGCCACAAGACTACACCTGTGTTCGTAATGCGGCATTCCATCAAAAGAATTATGGTATGTTTGTGCAGCGAAGGAACTGGACTTTGATCACCGTTCTTATGAATGGAGATTGTTCATTCGATTCCAGCAAGGTCAGTCTGAAACGAGTGCTTCTGTACACAGGCAATGAAAAGCCAACTGTGCCAGTAGTTCATGCTGTGGGATTCAAGGAAATATAGTCATGACCAATATCGTGACAACATCAAATGATGGAAGGCAAGATAATGTCCCTATTCTAGGAAAATTTAACATAAACCATATACCACCACTGCTTATAAAGTTGGGCCCGAGGAAACACTTTGTGAAGGCTGTGTTGTTACGGTGCAGGATTTCTTTACTTGAAAAAAAAAATGGATTTGTTTTAACTGACGGAGGACGGAGTATTTGTTGAGCAACAAATACGTGAACTGTTAAACAATCCAGTCTCCCTATCAGACCTGACCCTACTGAGCTGGCCTCATGGAAGCTTCCTAACAGGTCGTACAGAACTACTTAGGAAGGTCGAGGTAGTGCGTAAACTGATAGAAGCATATAGAACACTGATTGCCATATACCCCTGAAAATGTACTTTCTTCATTTATACCTGTACTTCTTTCAATACAGTGTTGGTGTTGTTAGTGGTGAACATAGTGGAAGGTTTCATCATTATATCAGTACAATGGAGGTACGTTTGTCAGTGACGTTTTAATCCCAACATGATGTAGAACTTCCGTTGATTTCTTCAGACACACAAATGTTAATCATAATCGAAAAGCTAAATACTCAAAATATATTTTTAAATATGGCCTTGAGAATTCTTTTTTGCATTACTTTATTCCACAGAAAAATTTTTAATAAAATTTTATTATGCTGTATTTTTTGATAAAATATGTTTTACAAATAAGCATTTCTCGAAAAATTATGCTTTATATTAACTTAAATCCTGACTTGCTGGGTTAATTTGGCTTGAAATTTGAACTGGCATGTTTGTTTTTACGTAAGAACACGAACATTGATCTTAGTAGCAGACCAAGCAAAGACGCGCTGTCTAATTATACACGTTTTATATACAAAAAACAGAGAGGGCCCCGACACACACTTTTGTGGTGCGCCTGGATTACACCTTAAAACTCCAAGCTGTTTGATTGGGGACAGCCAGACTGCCTTGGGAATGGAACATTTAATCATGGACCCAGGAAAAAGACATCGAAGCCTCTTGGAAGTAACAACCCTAACAAGAAAAAACGGGAAAGACCACAAAGTAGCAGATGCTTGCAGAATAAGGGAAAATAGAAAGTTTACCATTTAGACAAGCAAATACCGTTTGCCCCGGGAGACATGTCAAATACACAATGTCGTTCCTCAACAGCGATCACCTCATTCTTGATCTCTTATGATTTTTTTTTGCCCCCAGAAAAAAGAATATAAAAGGATTTAAGACTTCTCATCCGGTCCCTTTAAAAAATTTTTTATTGTCAGTGAATGTAAGGTGATCATAAAAAGTTTTGTAGTGAGTGGCGGTATCATAAAAAAAATTGGTTCTTTTTAAAGAACAACATTTAGTTATATTTTTTTTCTAGAAAAAAACATCCTTGTTGGGGGAAAAGTTTTAATTTTTCCCCTACCGAAGGGTGCAATTGTCACATCCGAACAGAGGTGGTCATGTGTCACGCCTGAGACGGGGTGTTTCAGTGGTCACATCCGAGACAGAGGTTTCTGTGTCACGATCCTGAACAGAGGTGGTCAAGTGTCACGATCCTGAGACAAAGGGTGGTCAGGGGTTCAGACCTGAGACAGGGGTAGTCAGTGTGTCACGTCCGAGAAGAGGTGGTCAGTGTGTCACGATCCGAGACAGAGGTGGTTTTCATGTGTCACGATCCTGAGCAGGGGTTGTCGTGTGTCACGATCCTGGACAGAGGGTCAGGTGTGTCACGACCCAGACAGAGGGGTCATGTGCACACCCCTAACCCAAGGTGGTCAGTGTGTCACATCCTGAGACAAGGTGGTCATGTGTCCGATCCAACAGAGGTGGTCAGTGTGTCACGATCCTGAGACAAGGTGGTCATGTGTCCGATCCTGAACAAGGTGTCAGTGTGTCACGATCCTGAGACAGGGGTGGTCAGGTTCACATCCTAGACAAGGTGGTCATGGTCACGCCCTGAGACAGTGGTGGTCATGGTCCGTCCTGAACAGAGGTGGTCAGTGTGTCACGACCAGCAGATTTTCGGTCCTCCTAAAGGGGGGTGGAGGGGAGATCCCCAAAGAATTTAGTTTTTCTGTTGGCGAGGTGGTATTTTTTACAGGGAGACGAATTATCAGGGTTCAACCTGAACAGGGGGGAGTGTTAGATGGAAAGGAGGTGTGGAAAATTAGAAGGGTGGTTAATTTGTACGGACCAAACAGAGGGGTTAGTGGAGATGGGGGGGGAAATTTTTGTATTTTTGATCCTGGACGATTCTTTTACGATTAGAAAAGGCAGTAGTTGTCCCCCTGGAACAGATTTTTTATGTTAGATCCTGGGGGTGGTCGTTCAGTCCTGAAAGGGTGTTTCTTTTTCAGATTGAGAAGAGGTGGGGTTAGATTGAGAAAGAGGGGGTATGGTGATTGAGGAAGAGGGGGTTTAAATTGTAGTTCCCGAGAAAAGGGGTTTTCAGTTTAAAAGCCCGAGAAAGATATGGTACCCTAAAGGTGGTAATGGTCACACCTAAAGATGTTCAGTGGTCACGATCCTGAGACAGAGGGGGTCATTGTCACGATCCTGAGACAGAGGGGTCAATGGGTCACGATCCTGAGACAGAGGGGCAATGTGTTATATCCTGAGACAGAGGTGGTAAATGGGTCACGACCGAACAAGGGGGCAATTTTTTAATCACCAATAAAAAATAATTTGTCATTAAGTTCCCTTTCTATGCATCTATCAAATAAAATCTTCCCCCTCACTGATTTATCAATTTGCTTAAAATTTTTGCTTTTTTGAAGCATCTGAAAAATCGATTCAAAACATTTTGTCATTGCTAATCCTCATTCCAATCTATATCTGTTCCATCAAGACCCTCAGAAGATCACAGAAACACTGGCTGGATCTATAACTTCCAACAAATAGAACACAAAAAGTAATATAAATAAAGTCTGAGGCAGCACATGAAAAGTTTTTGTTTCCCTAGGGACAGACTCGCTCCCACCTATTCCTCAACCTCCTGTCTAACAAACAGAGATGTAAAACCATGCCCGTTCTTCCTTTTCGGAGACACCTGAATTTCCAGGCAGGCCTCCATCGAAACAGCAAGACTCCCAAACGACATCAACCAAAACTTCAAATGGGCCCTCAAAAAAATTGAATTTAATGAAGAGAATTTTCAGTACTCAGACATGGAAAACTTTAGGAAATTAAAACTGTAAAAAGGTATACAACAAATTTAATTATAAAAGAGCAAGAAAGTAATGTGAAGGACCCGGGAGTATAAAAGTCAAGGGTCCCCACCTTCAAAAACAAAAGACCCCCCCCCCCCAAACTGCTATAAAAAATGATAGGGGTGGAAAAGAGAACCCTCAAAAGGGGCCCCCCATGATGATTCTCTTCAGATCCTTGTTCTCTCTAGGTGGAACGCTGTACACTAAATGCCCCCTTTTAAGGCAGGCAAATTGCTGACCTGGGGATGTACAAGAACCTTCACGGCCACAAAAATACGTTAAAACCTACTGAGAAACGGCTGAAAAATTCCTTGATTTGTATTTCCCTTTTTAATGCAGGGGGCCAAAAATAGATAAAATTTACTTGGAAAACCAGAGGGATTGATACCAAACTTGCACAAGAAAATCACTCCCTGTGAAATCGAAAAACTCGGCATGAGATGCAACATTTCCCCAACGAAAAGCAGGGGTGTCACGAGTACACTGAGAAGCAACACAAGTGTCCGGGGCCCAAGATTGTTCAGTTAACTCCCAGCATACATAAGGGGGATTACCAATAGACCCCTGGCTGTCTTCAAGAAGGCACTGGACAGGCACCTAAAGTCAGTACCTGACCAGCCGGGCTGTGGTTCATACGTCAGTTTGCGTGGGCCACCAGTAACAGCCTGGTTGATCAAACCTTGATACACCATGAGGGCTGGTCTCAGACTGGGCCGTGGGGGGCGTTAACCCCCGAAACCCTCTCCAGGTATACTCCAGGTATGGTTCATCACCTTGCCAATTGTAATGGGTGTCCATTAGTAACCAGTTTCAATCCACCAACTAAAATTTGTGCAAGAGACGTCACGGAGACGCACAACAAAAGAGGAACAGAAAAAAGGGGAATGCACTTCGTTTGGTATACTTATTAATAAGGAATGAAAAAAATAAAATTTGCCTGTCACTGTAAGCAACGTGGCTACAATTTCCTTTCCCGGAGACCACAAACCTCCCAGTTCAGTAAATAACCATCAGGTTGGCTCCCACGGAATTAGCAAAGGACATAGAAAACCCACTAATTTAAAACGAGAGCAGTGTGTGCTAATGTTATTCAGATAATGTTTAGAAACCGTTAACTAAAACGAAAAAAAATATATTACTATAATTCCTGGATCAACTGGAGATTTCAAACAGTATTTCTAACAAAAATATAGGTATGATTCCCTTCAGATTGCAATAGTGATAGCAGGATGAATATACACATTTTTGCACCTAACAATTCTTTGGAGTCAAATTTAAGACGAAAGATCAAATACTGAAGTTTTTTTATTCAAACTGGATTGGTATCACCTAAACTAGGCAAGGAACTGGTTGAAGTGTGAAGCCTCTTCACAAAGAGCAAGTTCCCTACACAGTAAACAGATCGTTCAAACTCAACCATCAGAGTGTTGGGCGAATGTGAGTGAGTGGGGACATAATGGGATACTAGAACTACTGGAGGGAAGGGTATGTATGATTCAGTGTGTTAAAGTATAATTACTCTAATGCAATTCAACAATGAATGTATTAAGGTCGAGCAAGTGTATTATATATAGGGGTGGAGAGTTAAAAATCACCAACATGTACTCGTTGTTGAGTGTAGGAAGTGTGTAATATAGAGCATCACAGAGCAGTACTCACTGAGGATGGCGTTCTTGTTGTGCTCCCACCAGACCCATCACAACCTGTCAAGTGAAAGAGTAAATATATATAACTTTAAAATAAAAGGTTGAATAATAGTAATTATATTGTAACAAATAATGTTTTAATAAATTTGACGAGTTTGATTTATCTTAAGTTAGTTATGAAGATAACAAGGGGACACGCGGGAACTTACAAGAGAACTTGTGAGAACAGAAGAAAATATTACCTAAACGATTAAGACGTTAACGTAATTTGTTATATTTTAAAAAATGTAATTTTAAAGATTTGTTAAATTAATGTATTTGAGAGAGAACATTAATTTTGCTCACAGCAATAAATTATTAAAACATAAATTCACTCTTTAATGAAGTACTTTAAAGAAACTAACAGACGCAAAGGCAGACACTAATGGGCTTGGACTGGCTGCAGGTCTGGTCTAACAAGTGGCTGCAGGTCTGGTCTGACGAGTGGCTGCAGGTCTGGTCTGACGAGTGGCTGCAGGTCTGGTCTAACAAGTGGCTGCAGGTCTGGTCTGCGAGAGTGGCTGCAGGTCTGGTCTGACAAGTGGCTGCAGGTCTGGTCTAACAAGTGGCTGCAGGTCTGGTCTAACAAGTGGCTGCAGGTCTGGTCTGACAAGTGGCTGCAGGTCTGGTCTGACAAGTGGCTGCAGGTCTGGTCTGACGAGTGGCTGCAGGTCTGGTCTGACGAGTGGCTGCAGGTCTGGTCTGACGAGTGGCTGCAGGTCTGGTCTGACGAGTGGCTGCAGGTCTGGTCTGACAAGTGGCTGCAGGTCTGGTCTGACGAGTGGCTGCAGGTCTGGTCTGACGAGTGGCTGCAGGTCTGGTCTGACGAGTGGCTGCAGGTCTGGTCTGACAAGTGGCTGCAGGTCTGGTCTGACAAGTGGCTGCAGGTCTAGTCTGACAAGTGGCTGCAGGTCTGGTCTGACAAGTGGCTGCAGGTCTGGTCTGACAAGTGGCTGCAGGTCTGGTCTGACAAGTGGCTGCAGGTCTGGTCTGACAAGTGGCCTGCAGGTCTAGTCTGACGAGTGGCTGCAGGTCTGGTCTGACAAGTGGCTGCAGGTCTGGTCTGACAAGTGGCTGCAGGTCTGGTCTGACAAGTGGCTGCAGGTCTGGTCTGACAAGTGGCTGCAGGTCTGGTCTGACAAGTGGCTGCAGGTCTGGTCTAACAAGTGGCTGCAGGTCTGGTCTGACAAGTGGCTGCAGGTCTGGTCTGACAAGTGGCTGCAGGTCTAGTCTGACGAGTGGCTGCAGGTCTGGTCTGACAAGTGGCTGCAGGTCTGGTCTGACAAGTGGCTGCAGGTCTAGTCTGACGATTGGCTGCAGGTCTGGTCTGACAAGTGGCTGCAGGTCTAGTCTGACAAGTGGCTGCAGGTCTGGTCTGACAAGTGGCTGCAGGTCTGGTCTGACAAGTGGCTGCAGGTCTGGTCTAACAAGTGGCTGCAGGTCTGGTCTAACAAGTGGCTGCAGGTCTGGTCTGACAAGTGGCTGCAGGTCTAGTCTGACGAGTGGCTGCAGGTCTGGTCTGACAAGTGGCTGCAGGTCTGGTCTGACAAGTGGCTGCAGGTCTGGTCTGACAAGTGGCTGCAGGTCTGGTCTAACAAGTGACTGCAGGTCTAGTCTGACAAGTGGCTGCAGGTCTGGTCTGACGAGTGGCTGCAGGTCTGGTCTGACAAGTGGCTGCAGGTCTGGTCTGACAAGTGGCTGCAGGTCTGGTCTAACAAGTGACTGCAGGTCTAGTCTGACAAGTGGCTGCAGGTCTGGTCTGACAAGTGGCTGCCGGTCTGGTCTAACAAGTGGCTAGTGGGATTTAACCTGAGCAAGTTCAAAGTTATGAAATTTGGGGAAGGGTAAACAAAACCTCAGATGAAGTACATGCTCAGGATGGCAGAGGAAGGGGACAGAATGACTGCAAAACTTAACTCCTGGAAAATAATATAACGGTGAGTATAATACCAGGCATATTCCTCTAAGGAGAACAACAACATAACTGTAAAAAACAATTGTGCGTCTGGCAAATCTAAGATTAGCTATCGGAAATCTAATTAAGGATATATTCGAGACACTGTACACGGTGTACATCAGGCTCTTATTAGAGTATGCAACACCAGTGTGGAACCCAGACCTGGTCAAGCATGCCAAGAAATTAGATAAAGTGCAGAGGTTCGCAACGAGACTAGTCCTGGAGCTTAAGGGAGCTGTTAAGGAACCATTAACATGCTATCGATAGGCGAAAGGTAGACTGAGGGTGATATGATAACGTACAAAATACTGAGCAGAGTTGATAGCGAGAAGAGAGATAGGAAATTTAAGAGTCGGGAAACAGGAACACGAGGGCTCAGCTGGAAGATGAAAAGACTTTAGTCACAAGGATGTTGGGAACTATTTCTTCAGTCGTAGAGTAGTCAGGAAGTGTAACGACTTGGAGATTCACTCCTGACATTAGAAGCCAAACTAAGAAAAAATACACTAACAGAGCAGCAGTTCGTTTTATTAATTCTAAATGGAAAACGGTACTTAGTATTTATAAGAAATAGAAACTATATCAGTGTGAGATCAAATCTGATTTTTTTTTCATTGAGAAACCAAACAAAAGTGTGAACAGAGTGACTCACACAGCAAAGAATAACAGAAAGGAGCAGGAACTTCATCTTGGCTTCTACAGTTAAGGTGTTGAACGCTTGTGACTGTTGTTGCTGGAGATGTGTGTACTTGGAACCGGTGATCTGGTCGTCTGCTGAGCGAGGAGTCTCACGTGGCCTTTTAAGACAACTGCGAATTGCCAGATTCTCCTGGAACATTTGTAACCGAGGTCAACCCCGACAAATAACTAACAAGACCAACCAAGTGAAACCACTCTAGTGTGAGGTAGAGACCTGGTTTCTTTTAGTGCGAAGAGTGGGGTGGGGGGTTATGGAGGTAGAATATAATTCTGCACCATTTTTGTTGTATATTTGAACATCTAATTTTATCGTATAATGTCTCTTGCAATCCTAGTTGATATATATCTAATTCTTGAACCTTCAAGACTGAGTTCTCGTACACACTGTGTATATATATGCTCTCATATATGTAGTTGCAGGGTGCAGTTCTAGCTTCCGGTCCCTGTCTCTCAACTTGCCGTTTTCCAGGTTCACTCCCTCTTTACCTCGTGGGCTTAATCATACCTGTTCTTGAAACCAAGCATGAAGCCTGCTTCCACCACTTCCTTGCCGCATTCCACTTCCTAGCATCACTCAGGCTGATGAAACACTTCCTGACATCACTTTACCTCAGCTGTGTCTTTAATTTCCAGCTGTTCCCCCGAGTTCATTTCTCTCGCCTCTTAAACAGATTGACCCTGTCTACCCTATCAGTTACTCTGAGTGTTTTAATAATAATAATATCTTGATTTACTACAAGTACATGTACAAGGTATACAGTCCTAGCTGACATTAATAACATACTACTATATAGAAAGCCGCTTGTTATGCAGAGCATTTCGGGCAAATTAGGTTAGTTTTGTCCCAGGATGCGACCCACACCAGTCGACTAACACCCAGGTACCCATTTTAAACTGATGGGTAAACAGGGACAAGGACAGTAGGTGTCTTATGGAAACACGTCCCTAATGTTTTTCAGCCGTACCGGAGGAGATTCGAAGCCCGGACCTCAGTGTGTGAGGTGAGTGCGTTAGCGATCAAGATATTATCATGTCTTCCCTGGTACTGCTGTCCTCCAGGTTCGTCAGATTCAAATTATTTTAGCTTCTCTTCGTGGCTCGTACTTCTTAGCTCTGGAGGTATTCTAGTTACATACTTCAGCATTTTCTCAAATTAACACAGTTCCTTAGGGTTTCATATTGGTGCTGCCTACTCATAGACCGGCCTGACATAACTTGTATTAAGCACCCAGAATGACTCGGAGATTCAGGAAGGTCACTTTCAAATTTGCAAGGCGAACTTTGGCTCCAAAAGTTATTCAGTTGACGTGAGCTTCCGGCGATGTGGTAGACACTGTTTGCTCACAAATTATTTCAGTATGAGGTCTGTAGCCGCTGTCCCTTGAATCTATAATCCGTGTCCGGTCTTCTGGCCCCTTACCCAGTCTATATAACCCTGCATGTGTTGCAATTGAATTCCAGCAGGCGGTTAGTTGATCAACACTGCAATTTGTCCTGATCCATTAGCAAACAGAGATACATCTGACTCAGTGCCACCTGTGTGTGTGCCAGTGTGTGTGCCTGTGCCTGTGTGTGTGTGTGTGTGTGTGTGTGTGTGTGTGTGTGTGTGCGCGCGCGCGTGCGTGTGTGCCAGTGGGTGTGTGTGTAGTGTGCGTGTGTGTGTGGTGTGTGTGTGCCTGTGTGTGTGTGTGTGTGTGTGTACTCACCTAATTGTACTCACCTAATTGTGGTTGCAGGGGTCGAGACTCAGCTCCTGGCCCCGCCTCTTCACTGATCGCTACTGGATCCTCTCTCTCTCTGCTTCCTGAGCTTTGTCATACCTCTTCTTAAAACTATGTATGGTTCCCGCCTCCACTACTTCACTTGCTAGGCTATTCCCCCTTGCTGACAACTCTAGACTGAAGAAATACTTCCTAACGTCCCTGTGACTCGTCTGAGTCTCAGCTTCCAGTTGTGACCCCTTGTCCCTGTGTCCCTCTCTGGAACATCCTATCTCTGTCCCCCTTGTCTATTCCCCAGTATCTTGTATGTCGTTATCAAAGTCTCCCCCGACCCTTCTGTCCCCAGTGTCGTCAGTCCCATTTCCCTTAACCTTTCCTCGTACGACATTCCCTTGAGCTCTGGGACTAGCCTTGTTGCAAACCTTTGTACTTTCTCTAACTTCTTGACGTGCTTGACCAGGTGTGGGTTTCCCGACTGGTGCTGCAATACTCCAGTATGGGCCTAACATACACAGTGTACAGTGTCTTGAAAAGATTCCTTATTGAGGTATCGGAACGCTATTCTCAGGTTTGCCAGGCGCCGCGTATGCTGCAGCGGTTATTTGGTTGATGTGTGCCTCCGGTGATGTACTCGGTGTTATGGTCACCCCAAGGTCTTTCTCCCTGAGTGAGGTCTGTAGTCTTTGTCCACCTAGCCTATATTCTGTCTGCGGTCTTCTTTGCCCCTCCCCAATCTTCATGACTTTGCATTTGGCTGATTGAATTCGAGGAGCCAGTTACTGGACCACATGTCCAGCCTCTCCAGGTCTCTTTGCAGTCCTGCCTCATCCTCGTCCGATTTAATTCTTCTCATCAACTTCACGTCATCTGCGAACAGGACACTTCAGAGTCTATTCCTTCCATCATGTCGTTCACATATATCAAAATAGCACTGGTCCCTAGAACTGACCCCTGTGGGACCCCGCTCGTAACAGGGCCCCACTGTGATACCTCTTCACGTACCATGACTCGTTGCTGCCTCCCTGTCAGGTATTCCCTTATCCATTGCAGTGCCCTTCCTTTTATGTGTGCCTGATCCTCCAGCTTCTGCACTAATCTCTTGTGGGGAACTGTGTCAAAGGCCTTCCTGCAGTCTAGGAAAACGCAATCTACCCAACCCTCTCTCTCGTGTCTTACTTCTGTTTACCTTGTCATAAAACTCCAGGAGGTTTGTGATACAAGATTTGCCTTCCATGAACCCATGCTGGTTTTCATTTATAATCTTGTTCCTTCCAGGTGTTTCGACACTCTCCTCCTGATAATCTTCTCCATGACTTTGCACACAATACATGTCAGAGACAACAGGTTCTGTAGTTTAGTGCCTCGTTTCGTTTCCTTTCTTAAATATGGGGACTACATTAGCTGTCTTCCATTTCTCAGGTAGTTGCCCAGTTTCAAGGGATGTGTTGAAGATTGTGGTTAGAGGCACACACAGCATCTCTGCTCCTTCTCTAAGGACCCATGGGAGATGTTGTCCGGTCCCATCGCCTTTGAGGTGTCAAGGTCACTTAAGATGCTTCTTCACCTCCTCCTCAGTTGTTCGTATGTCATCCAACACTTGTTGGTATATTCCCTCTTGATGTTCCCTTCTGTGCTGTCTTCCCACAGCCCTTCCTGTCTTACTGTAAAAACTTCCTTAAATCTCCTGTTCAGCTCCTCACTACCTCCTGATTCATTTCTTTGATTCTCACCTTCTGTCCTTAATCTGATCACCTGGTCTTTGCTGTTGTCTTCCTCCTATGTGCTATACAACTTTTCGGGTATTTGATTCTCATGTATGTCTTTTCATATGTGCTGGGCCTCCCTCCTTCCTGTGGTACTCATTCCGGGCTCGCGACGATCTCCCTATTTTGTGTTTCTTGCCTTCTGAATTTTTTCCATTCTCTATTGCATTTGTTTTTCCCTCCTTACCCGGGGAAAACCCAGGGGCTTGTTCTGGTCTTTCCCGTTTTACTGTTGCCTTGGGGAATAAACCCTTTCCACTGCCCCTTTGATTTTGTTGCTACATATTCCATTTTTTCATTTACTGGTTTTCCTGCCATTCTCTGTCCCACTGGACCTCCCATGAAGTTCTTAAACCCCTTTTGTACCCCTTTTTATAGTCAGGTTTTTCCCATTCACTCCTGTTATTCTCCCCCTTTTTGCAGCTCTACTATGTTTTCAAAGCACAGAACCACGTGGTCGCTAGCCCCTAGGGACTCTCATACTTGTTCCTCAAGTCGAGCTCCAGGGGAACACAAGGCCAATCTTGCGGGTTCATCCTCCCCTCTCACTCTGGTAGTGCCCTTAACATGTTGGTGCATGAGGTTTTTCCGCACCACGTCCCATCCGGGCTCTCCAGTTTCGGGCCCCCATTGGCTCCGGTTTTTCCCCAGTAATCTCCCTGTGGTGAAATCCCCCATAACCAGCAATTTTGCTCCGGGTGTGAGCTCTTCTTGCCACCCAGCAATGTTCCCCCATTGCTCTGTTGCTCTTTTCTATTCCTCTTTTGGGCCCCTCCTGCAGTTCTGGGGTGGATTTTACATACTCAATGACACTTTGTGTTCCCCAGATGAATGTATGCTATGTATTTCCCTTTCTCCTTCTCATCTATTCCTTCCTTTTTCTCGAATTTCCTCGTTTTTTACGAGGGAAAACCCCACCTCCCCCCCTCCCCCTTCTTTTTCCTATGACTGGTACCCTTGGGGAAGATTGCATCTTTATTGTTCCAGATTTTGTTTCTGAACTGCTAGATGTCTGGGGTTTCCCATTGATTCTTTTTTGCCTTTCCTCATGTTTTTTCGTTAATCCTCTCATTTGGTCCCAAAACCTTAAACTTCTTTTCAAATACTGTAACTGGGGTGCGGGGCTTGGAAACAGGGGGACGGTGTGTGATGGTTGGTTTGGAATGTTCAGTTGCTTGGGGGGTGCGTGGTGGAGTCCTTCTGCAGGGTTTTGGGGGTGCCTTGTCCTTCCATTTGATCCTGGGTTTTTTGTTTCCCCTTTTTTTCTTTTTCCTCCCTTTTTCCCCTTTCTTTTTTGAATTTATTTTTTTGTCTTCCTTTCGTCCTGTGTTCTGTCTCGGCGAGGTACACACCCCGGAACCCCTGTTTTGCCTCCACGTGTTTCTCCTGCGGATCAGGGTTTTGGGTTTGATTTCCCTTAAAAATTATTTGAGGGGCCCCGATCCTTTTCTTTGTAAACCACCCAATTCTCCGAAAATTTGCCACCTGGGCATGTCCCCCTCGCCTATCCCCTTTCATGATGTCTTCAATCGCTTTTTTCCCCCCGTTTCTTTCTATAATTTTCCCCTTTACTTGTCTACCCATAGACAAACCAGACTCCCTTTCCCCCTCCCACTGTGACCCCC